CCAAAGGGTGCAGGTTGCACATATTTGGCCCTAATGATGTTAAAAAAATTTTACAACCCAATGATGTTTGGGTTGGGTTGGGGCGGTGTGGGGTGGGTTGGGTGGTCGGTTTCAACATTTAAAGAATCAAAGACTCAAAATTCAAGCTAACATTAAATATGAAGCAAAGTAGTCCATCCAACATCAAACATAAAGCAAACATAAATTAGTCTACACTCATAAATTAGTCTTAACATAAAGCAAACATAAAGGCTTAATTCAAACATGAAGAAATTAGAGAGTAGAAATGAGTTATCTGCCTAGGGTTAGATATTAGAGAATGCAAGTTAGAGCGCGAGTTAGATTGGGGTATGCGGGCCATTATAGGCGCAACCCACACCCCGCTCCAACACTTCGGGCCAGACATTGAATGGGCCACAAAAAAAAATTAATACTAAAAATTACATTTTTCGGATTGGGTTGGGGTGAGGTGGATTGGGCATGCAGGTTTATAAACATCCCTAGATGCGGTAGTTGATATTAGGAGGTTTGGGGATGGGATCATGAGTATTAAATTAGCCTCAGAACTAGAGATAGTTTATGTTGTTAGCGCGTATGCTCCTCAGGTTGGTTTAGATGATGAGGCTAAGAAGGATTTCTGGGACTCTTTGGAGGAGTTAGTTCATGGAATCTCCTCTTTTGAAAAGGTTTTCCTAGGCGGTGATTTGCATGGCCATCTAAGTAAGGATAGAGGTGGGTATGAGAGGTTCATAGAGGTCAAGGTTTTGGGGTTCAAGAAAATATGGGGATTTCTATTATAGATTTTGCTTTAGCTACTGATTTTGGGATCGTCAATACTTTTCATAAGAAGAGGGAAAATCATCTGGTGACCTTTGTGAGTGGGCATAATAGGAGCCAATTTGACTACTTCCTTGTTAAGAGACAGAGATCTAGGTAGGTGTAAGAATTGTAAGGTTATTTCAGGAGAGTGTCTACATAGGTTGTCAGTCCTAGATTTTTGTCTTAAGAGTAGGGGTAGGGCAGTTAAACTGAGAATTAAGTGGTTAACTTTAAAGGGTATGCATGCCATAAGTTTAGGAGTAAAATTTTGGGCGGTCAGTCGGTCATAAAGGGCTGCGATAGTCTAAAGTTAATGGATAGGATTAGTAGTTCCTAAATTAGAGAGAAAATTAGAGGGGTTACTTAGGGGTAGCGCCTATAGATAACAAAATTAGACAGAAACGTCTACAATGGTTTGGTCATGTGCAGAGGCGACCAAACAGGGCCCCCAATTAGAAAATGTCTAGATTGGCAAGCTCGTGGAGACCGTTGAAAACCTGGATGAAGACAGTAAGAGAGAACATATTAGGACCTGTTTAGTTCGTTGATTTGAGTTTTAATTTAAATTAATATGTGATTTTATGTGAGAACTTTTTACTATAGTAAGAAAGTTAAATGTGACTGTTTCTGAGAGCTTTTTACTATAACAAAACTCGAATCGGTGAAATAAACGGGGATTTAGAGTTTAGAGTACGTGAGGATATGTGAGAAAACCACATTTATTTGAGAACCGAAATCCATATAGCCGACCCTGATTGTAACGAGAATGTGTTTTGATGATGATAATGAAGATATTTTTGTTTATTTTAATTAGTCCTTAAAATTATTTTAAATGGCAATTTTAGTCCCTAAATTTATTAATAATATCATTTTATTTCTAATAAAAAAATCACAGCATGCCATTAACAAAAATAGTGTCCTATTTCATTTATTAATTGCAATCTACTTTAAACTTGTGTTTCCTATATAAACACTTCATATAAAATAATTAAAGGTTTTGATCCTAATATTGAACGGTTGGTTTTCGAAATGTTTTCGTGTGCGGATCGTGTATAACAAAAATTTTCATAAAACTTTTGAATACTCTATAGATTATATTAAATTAAGCAATAATAAATTAATCATATTAATTTATAAACATAGATACTAGGTGAACAATTAGGCGGATAACTTGAGGTCTTTGGCCACGAACAGTCCAAGTTTCAAGCTTTCTCATAAAACCAGAATCTTTCTCGTATAGTCTTTGAAATCTGCAAGACCTAGAGTGTGAGCTCTAATATAAAACTATCGGATTTGACCACATGTTAATTTGTATTCATTCACTATCAACACATGTATGTGAAGAAACTAGAAATTATGAGAACTTTTCTTCTTTTTTTCTCTCCCTAGAAACCGGCCACCTATGGAAAAATAGAGAGCAAAATTTCACTTTTCCAATTTTCTGTTGTCTGCTAATTATAGAATACTAGAAGAACCTCTTTATTTTAGCTTAAAGACAAAGCAATAGAAAATTTGTTATAATTATTTTTTAATCTCATTAAAATACAGTTTCCCATTTAATTTAAAAACAAATTTCTCCCTTCCTTTTAACCGCATGGCCGGCCACACCACAGGGAGACCTCCTTGTGATTGGCGTAAATCTGCAGGTAGAAGAGAGAGAAAATTCATCTTTATCCAATTTTCAATTTTAGCTCAAATTCAAATCTAAAAAAATGCATACTTTACTTTCCTTTTGAATTTGATTGAAAAACTTGTTAAACAAGTAAACCGAATATCTTGGAGAGTAAGTAACTGAATCCCAGTGGGATTCTACCTGTGTCACACACCCCCTGCACCTCCCTGTGCTTGAGCGTGTGATCTCTTACGGTCCCATCATAGTGTGTTTTAAAATTAATTTAATGAAATAATCACATTATTTATTTTGAGTGATATTAAATCATGATAATTCATCTTGTCTTGCAAATATTACAAAGATGACGCAGAGACTCATGGACCTATAATTCCGAGCTCCAATAAAATTAATAATTAATTAAACTCTTTAATTAATTAATTAATTCTATTAATTATAAGAGTTACTCTACTAAAAACTTGGAATTGCACTCTCAAAATTATAGACATAATTTACTTCTAAGAACTTGAAGTGTCCATTCGATATAGTCATTATATAGATCGATCCTTAATAAATAATTCATAATCAGAGCTAGGTTAAATCCGTTAACCTCTCTAATTACATCTTTATTCTTAAGTACTATTGATTCTCTAATGAATAATATATTCATAAAACTATTCATGAATACAAGCTCGTTACTTATTCAAGTACCAAATCAACCTCAAGGGAATTATTTTTCTACTTCTTCAAAGAAGAATGAATGGACTTCATCTCGTATATTAACATTCTCGGCTATCTATTTCATCATATTTTCAAGATACAAAGAATATGATTTAGAATCTCGAAATCCGTAACTAGTAAATAAAAAAACATGAATCCATAAATATGAGTATACTTATAACTCATGATTAAGATCATTCTATATATGACCATCGGTAGACTCAAATTTAATTTTTTATACTTAACGAAAAATATCAAAAAATCAAATTGTGTATGTGTCCCAATTCTACATAATCTCATTATGCATAATACACTCATTCAATATCCCTCTATATTAATGATGCGGATAACTTCATTCCATTTTTAATGAGAATGGCATGTATTAGTAATATTTTAATTAAAGATTTCTTAACTTTAATTAAATTTATTACGAACATTGTTTCGATTATTATCCTTAAATACTATTATCTTGTATATAACACTTATATACAATATTTAAGGTTGCATAAATAATCGCGGACTTTTCAATGATATCATAAAGTATTTAATAATACATGCACATAAATAATGAATAAATTATTTTATTAATTAAATATTAAATATCCTTATTACATCTCATGCTTTAATGACACTATTCCTAACATGAACCTTGTGATGAGACTTTTATTTCAAATATGAACGGTTATCAAATAAAATGCATAAACTCTTTTTCTCATAATATCAAATTAAGATTTTTTTTGGTAAGTAATATAAAATTAAGATTACATATATGCTTTATCACCTATATAGTATAAGGTTTTAATAAGTTCAATTAAATTTGGTAATCTTAACAAATACTCTTTGAAAATGCATGAGTCAAGATTTTTACTCTTTACTCTTGATTCATAAACTTTTAGTCAAATAATTACACTAACAAAAGAATATTTATAAAAAATAAGAAGTAAAAATTCAAACTAATGCACTCTTAAAAGTAAATTCTCTATTTTTTTATTAAGGCGAGCTTAGAAACTTAACCCAACGTGATGAAGACTGGGCTTTGAAGTTTCTGCAAAGGGGCTTTTTGTACTTATAAAATATCACCTACATTTAAACTAGTAAAAAAAAAAAAAAATCACCTACATGTTTAGCGTAATAAGGTTTGTAGTGTTATTGGCCCCTGTAAATATGCTCATGTTGGAGTTTTAATTTGCACATTTCAATT